ACGTAACATTTGTGTAGCAAACGAATATTTTCGTAAGGGGATGACTTGATACGATCCCCCATGAGAACTCCACCAATGTTACCCACCTTACCTCCGAGGGGCGCGATGGGGCGGCATGTCGGAAAATGATCATAGTAATCGTAGGGCACGTGGGTTCGCACAGATGTCAATACATTCACCTGAATAGGAATAATTTCGTTCTTTTCAAAAGTTTGCGGATGAACATTTGGCAAAAAAACAGCATTTACTCCATATCCGACGAACAGAGCAAGCAAAAGCAAGGTATTCAAAGCCATTGATAAGTCACAAAACGCCATGCTAAAAAACAAAATAAAATAAATAACTTAAAGGTGATAAACCTATACCAAATCCAAAGAACAAACGAGCAAGCAAAGAAGCTGTTGTCACGTCGGAGGGCGATCATACGAAAGCCAACACAAAATGTCACGAAAAAATAAAAACACCAACAATTCCGGTTTTTTGAGGTTACGATTCCCCTTTCCTCGAGGGCGCAGGGAAAGAAGGCGAACCGCTGGCGCCGGTCCATGACGCTCGAGAATGGGAATCGCCTCGATGTGCCCGGCTGCCCCCTGCATATCCCCCACAGGCCCGCCCCACGGAAATGAGACATGCGAGGGCGGGCGAGGGAACACATAAGAATGCTCTTTTTTGGGGTGCCCAGTGTTTTTTTTGTGCTCCATCTCTTTTTTGCTCTTGCGTCTGCTACGCGCACGCGGAACGCGTTTTTTGCGAACGTTTGGCGCGAAATGTGCTGAAGTGCGGATGGCGTTTAGTCCGAGAAACCTGCTGCCCAACAATGTTTCCATTGCTTTCCGGAGGCATCAGCGGATCGAACCTCAATATCGCTTGCTTGGTTTATTAGGATTCTGTGTGTGTGACGTGCGAGCCACTGCTGCTGTTGCTCGTGATCATGTCTCCTTCTCGGCGGCTGAGCGGAGGGCGTTGTAGGCGCAAGCATCGCGGGTGATGGGCGATGTGCCTTTGACGAGGGATGCGCTTCTTTACCACGAATGATTTTACTTCCAGAAACGATCTGCATCACGGAGCGGACAGTGTTGGAAGGTTTTGCAATGGTGTTTGAGGAAATCACGTATGAATTGCCTTGGTATGTTTGTGGGTTGTTCATCATGATGACAATTGTGAATTCACAAAGGAGGACCGCGCAAACTGGACTTGTCGGCCGCGACGATAACCCGGTGTGAGAAAAGATTACCGGAATATTGGGAGCGAATTGCTGCATTTTGTTTTTTCTGGGCCTGTTGGCTAGTTTCTCAGCGTCCTGTGCTGGGTGGAGAAGACGGTTTCTGCACTTGCAGCTAATTCCTTAATTCCCACCCTGAAATGGAAGCACGACTTTGTTTGGTGCCATGATAGGAACCATCGTTACGTTGGGCCCCTTTTGTATTTCATCATCCGCTAGGGCTGCTGAACGGAATAAAGCCATTTCCACACTGCCCTTGGTTTATTTATTGGTGCGTTATTGTGAGTGAATGTCGAGCGCAGTGTGCTTGGTGCCCTTTCTCCCTGCGGAGAAAGACTCAGTAGAACTTGTGCTCGACTGTTGCCTTCAATTCAATTTTTTTTTTTTTTTTTTGGTACTTCAGTGCTCTGAAATCGCGACACAAATTTTCATTTCGTGAGGTGTTTATTAGAGAGTGCAGGAGCCGCATTGTATGCTGTTTTCTTGTGGATGGGTATTTTTTCTGTGCGATTATCCGTCTACAATGCCAAAGGCATGCTTCACCAGATTATTGTCCTTATGTGGCTGTTTCTGTTCTTGCTTGCCGTGGCCGATAGAGTGATGAAAGTTTAACCAGTGCGGCGAGGTTTCATGAAGGATTCATGACGAGAATGGATTTGTCACAGAGGAATGTTTTGTTTGGACAAGTTCAATTCGTATATGGCCATTTGCGATGAAGTCTTAAAAAAAAAAAAGGTCCATGCTGGAATGGACTTTTCATTACGGGCTTTATGACTGTATTGGTGGTGCGTGCTTCTGAGCTTGCTCTTAATACTCTGTTAAAGGATTATCGGGGTGCGGGTGTTTGTTTTGAACATCGGGGTGCATTTGTGAATGACGGTCTTTTATTGACGCGACACAAGGGCGCAGAGCAGGTGTCGGTGACATATAAAAGGGTTTTTAGGACTTTGTTTGAGCATTTTATTTGTGTGGGTGACAAGAAGAGGAGACAGAAATACATAAGCAATGGGGCGGGGCTTCATCACGAAACAGACGGAACGGAAGGAATTTGTCAACGCATCGCGCTGCTTTTTTATTTTATTGTTTGTGGATTGGCTTTTTTTATGTGGAAGAGGGTGCGTGCGAGCGGCAACTGTGCACCAGTGTGGATGTGATGGTGGTGAGGGAAACGGCATTTCTTTCCGGGATCACGGGTGAAAACGTGCTTTTGCGGAGCTGTGGGCATGGATGACTGACGAGGGGAAACAGATGGAATGAGTTGGGGTGCACGCATTCGTAGGGAAAGACTGCCATGCGTTTTTTTGCGGGCGCTTATCCGTTGTTGTTTCCCTTTGATTAGGAGGGCGACAACGCTTTGCGACAACAATCTTCATTCATGAGAGGAATTATCTCCAATGGTGCTGATGGAAGCGTAATTCGGCCAGAAGAGAACAATCAAAAAGACCGTGAGTGCGGTGCGAGCACCCGAAGGGGAGACGACATGAACGGAGGTGGGCGGACGGAGGTATCGGAAGAGTTGACGGAAGAGGATACGTAGAATAAAGGGAGATGAAATGAGGTTGACGGTGCTGCTGTGCGATGTGCGAGGGAAGAGGAAAAACAAGTGCTTTCCGACATGCAGGTAAGTGTGCCACGGCCACCGATGAGTTCTCAGGGAGAGTGAAAGGAGGAAGGGAGACGGAGACTGTGCGCATCCGCTGCGGCGTGTGGTGCGACAGGATGCGATTGGCATTGTGAAGGATGCAACGGCCGTCATGCGTGCAGCAGAGCGTCATCTGCATCTTTTTGCCTGCAGAGCCTGTAAGGGCTGCGAGGAGGTGCAGGCGACCTCTCATCATTGGGGCGCTGAGGCTGTTTTCCCCCACTGCTCGGCGGGAGAAGCTACTCTTCCCGCACGTGATTTGCTGGTCTGCATCGATGCTCCCAACGGGGCATCACGCCGCCGTGCCGTTGCAGTGCAACTCTCGTATCCCTCACTGCACACGTGGCTCCCTGTCGCTTGCCTTGTTTGCAGGACCGTGGCCTGCGGTCTCCCATTGGGAGGCTGCTCACTTTTTCCCCTGATTTTTGTATGCTGTTGAGGAGTGCTGTAGAATGGTGACTGATGGGATGGTCATGCTGTGTTTCGGTGTGAGTGGTTCAGGTGTGTACTGCTGTTCTGTTGTCTTTCTGCCGCTGTTGCCTGTTGCTCCCCACGATGAAGTAAGTTAATAACAAGCGCGAATTGCCACTGTGGAATTTGAAGGCTCTGAAAGGACCAACAACAGAGCACACACCGCCCACACACACATATATTTATATGGTCTCACGTGTTGCTGCTGTGAAGGCACCCCGCACACACAACCGTCGCCGCGTGACCGGATCCAGCGGAAGGAGGAGGGAAGGAAGAGAGAATGAGCCGCAGAGGCCCAACATGTCCCGGCACGTGGTTAATTTCGCTGTGCTCCTTCTTGTCAGGATGGTGATGTGCTGTGGCGCTGGTGGATCTGCAGCTGCCGCCGGGGGTTGATGTTTTTGTGCCGCAGAAGACGCAGGTGGTGGCAGAAAATGGGTCTGAAAGTGGAGTGAATGATCTACTTGGCTCACCCTTTCTCGTTGGTGCTGGTGGAGTAGTTGCTGCTTTCGCCGAGGGTTGCATCCTCAAAGATCTGGGTGCTCAATTAAGTAAGACGATTTCTTCTGATGTTGTTGCGGGCTACATCGACTCTGCGTGGGATTGGTCCACTCTTGTTGGGGAGGTCGATAAGGGTACATGGAGGGCCCACACGGTGTCTAGTGCAGCGGAGGGAAAGGAGAGTTTGGGTGTTGTGCTCCGCCCCACAACTACTGCGAATGGCAATAGTGTGTTTCTACTTGTGGGAAGCTCTGATGTGTCCAATGCAGGTGGGTATGTGAGATGGGGCATTCTTGACCTGAAACTGTTTGTGGGTGAGGTCACGAATTCTACGGGCAACAAGCAGAGTGAAGGGATTAGGTGGAAAGAGCCCACATCGCCCGTAAAACCTTTTCCCGAAAATATTCACAGGGAGGAATTGAAGGATTTTTGTTTCCGGCGGCTCGGGTGTTCTGGTGGAGGATGACAAGCTTGTGTTCCCTTTGATGGCGGAGAATATAAACCATGACTTTTTCTCCATGATCATTTATTCGAGGGACAACGGCAGTATTTGGGCGCTCTCTGAGGGTGCTCCTTCTGCGGACCGCTGTGAACTCCGCATTGCCGAATGGGAGGGATCACTTCTCATGGCTACTCGTTGTCATGGGGGGCGGACTGTGTACGAATCGCGTGACGTGGGGAAACATGGGCGGGGACCATCGGGACACTCCCAGGCGTGTGGGCGAAGGCACAAGAAGAAATGCAGCAGCCAAATTGGGTTATTGGGGCCCTCGTCACCGCGACCGTTGAGGAACGGAAAGTCATGCTTTATACTCAGAAAGGGTTTTCTTGTTGGGAGGAAAATTCAAATGCGATTTACATTCGGGTCACGGACAACAACTGCGCGTTTTCTGTTTGACCGGCTGCTACGGACAATGCCGCGAAGAAGACGTTTTCCAGCACCCTGCTGTACTTGGATGGCAATTTGCATCTTTTATGGGAGAGGGACAGCGATGAGGGGGGCAGGGAAATGTTTTTTGTTTGCCTGGCGGGGGAACTAAGCACAGTCAATTCCGTCCTCAGCACTTGGGTGCAACTGGACGCATTCTTCAACATGTCGTCCACACCCACGGATGGTTTGGTTGGACTTTTGTCCAACGCATCGTCCGGTGATGACAGGTTGATCGACGAGTATCTTTGCGTGAATGCAACGGTGAAGAAAGGACCGAAGGTGAAGTATGGGTTTCAATTTTCGGGGAATGAGTCCAAGGCAATACGGCTCGTGAGCAGGTGGGCACACAGTAAGCATCACGACATTGTGAAGCAAAACTTTGCTCTTGTGGCGTCGCTGGGCATTCAGCAGTTACGCAAAGACGGCAGCATGCCTCTTATTACTGCGAACCTGTGGGACGGTGAGAACGAGCATACCATGGGACCGTTGTATACCGCGGATAACATGTGGGATACGGTGTACGAAGGCACAACAAAAGAGAGCAGAGCTTGGGAGCCGAAGCAGGAATACCAAGTGGCGCTCATGTTGCACGACAACAAGGCCTTGTGTACATTGATGGCCAGTCACTGCGGGAGGAGAAGTGCTGTTAACAGATGAGAGGCCACATGCGGTTTTTTGGTTTTGCTTTGGCGCGTGCGATGTGCAATTACCTCATGTGATGGTGACGAACGTCTTTCTGTACGACAGCCCACTGAATTCCACTGAGATGATTGCACTCGAGGGTAAGGTTCCCATTTTGAAGGAATGCCCGGAACCGCACGGGGAAGGTGTCTCTTAACCCATCGCACCTGCTGGATCTGCGGTGCCTGGCCCAGGGGAAACTCCTGCAGCACCGGCGGGGAGGACAACTGTGGGTAGGGCAGAGGAGACATTGGGTCTCCATGCCGTTGAAGGAGTGAATGGAAGTGGGGCAGAAAAGAGGAGTGTCTTTCTCACTGAGGGTGTACCGGCCGATGCGTCTGCGGCGAGCTTGACACCTGCCGGGAACGGACTGCTGCCGCTGCTTCTTCTGTTGGGACTGTGGGGGTTTGCGGCTCTGTGAGGAGTGTGTGTGTCGGTCCAGAGGACACCTGCGGCCTCACCTGCACCGACACACACACCGCTTGGAATAAATTTCACCCCGCAGAGAATAATTTTTTTATTATCTCTCACTTCCCTTCTTTTTTGCTTGTTGCTTTAGGGCAATCACTATGGACGTTTTTTTTCTTTTCTACTCTTCCCTCTTTTAATTGTTTCTTCTGCGCTCTTCCTGTGAGGGGTGCCGTGTGTTTCCCGCCCAACTGCTCCACTCGCACACCCACCGACACGCTCATGACGACGGCCCTGTGCGCCTCGCCTGCTGCACGCATGAGGAGGGGCCGCGACGAACGGCGCGCTGAGGGAGCCGTGACGTGTGGGCGTGCGGCGAGGGCCTGTGGGGCGGAGCACACATTTCTTCCCCTCTTGTTTTGTTTTCTTGCGGCCAGGGCGGGCAGACACCCGCAGCGCCACACACACAGCCACACCCTGCCGCCGTGCTTTTATTTATTTATTTATTTAGTGGACGGGAGTGTGCCGCTACCACCGTGCGGTGATGGAGGGCGGAGAGCTGTGCCGGACGTGTTGCCGACGGACCACTCTGCACCTTCAGTGTCTTCTTTACGTAATGGCTGTCTGCTGCACAGCGTCATGAGTGACGTGTTTTTCTCTTTTGTTTGCTTTTTTTTGCCTACATGCGGTGCCGGCTCCGCGGCTGTGCGTCTCACGGACTGCACAGAAAGAGGATTGGAAGAAAATGCCTGATGCCGCATGGAAGGTGGAGGGCGTTGTGTGGCTCACGGAACAATAAAATCTCTTTTTTAAGCTTTAATTTCTTTTTCTTGTTGCAGGTAACATGTATACACAAGCACATAGCCTTATTGTACTGCTTGGCGCATGAAATAAACACCTTCCCGGATCAATTTTTTATTTTTTTATTTTTTAAATACTTTTGGGAGTTTTTCTGGACTCTTATCCTTTTTATTTTATTTTTTGGTAAACCACTACGGTTCATTTCTTTTCTGCGGTATTCACCGCCATTGAGTGGCTCCGTGTCCCTTTGATTGTCTCTCTGCTGGCTGTGCTGTTGACATGCCTATTTCTTTTTCTTCTTTTTTTCCCTGCTAGAGGCACTGATGGCCAGCGGCGGCGATTTTTTGTGTTCGCCTCTGCAATGGAACGAGGATGACTGGGCGCCTCGCCCCGGCCCGCTGAGTACACTTGGAGGGAGCGGATAATGTGCGCTTTGCCCCACTGTGAGTGTGGGACGCCACCCGCCAAAACCCGCTGTGGGGCGTAATTCCAATCCGTTTGGCGGAGGGAATTGAAGGACAGCGCCGTGGACTTGGTTGCGTCCGTGGGTGTGCTGTGCGCATGGCACTTCATTGCGGTGCGACGTGGGTGGCGGTGCTTCTGCGTGCGTTGTGCGGCGGGCTTCTTTTCTCCATGTCTTTGCCCCTTTGTGTATGGGAAGGTTGTGGGAGAGGATGTGTGCGGGGGAGTGAGTGTGGGTGGCTGCCAGTCCTGCCCCGCGCATTGGGGAATTCCAGAAACGTGGCTTTGCTTGACGGCGTTGCGCGGCGCCCAGGGTGTGGCGAGGAGGAGGATGGGGAGGATCTGTTGTGGGCAGAAGGTGGATGGACAGGACAGTCCCCTTCCGTGTCCTTCCCTGTGCTGTTGGCATTACATACTGAGAGCATAAATATGCGCAAGTGCGGGATGAAAGGTTTATGCCGCTTGTTGTGTGTGCTACTCAATCGTCGTCATTGCACGCTGTCGTCACGGTGCGTTGTGGGGCGGTGCTGTTTGATGAGGGAAGGGTGCGGTGACACGGCTGCTGCGCACCACAACCATTTATTGTCTCTGCACCGGCATTTTTTAAAGTTTCTGTGGCTTGTTTTTTTTTATGCGCTCGCATATATATATATATATATATATATATATATATATATATATATATATATGTATATATATTTGCTTCACGATGAATTTGTTGGAGGAACTTTGGTTTTGGTGCCTGCTTCACGGCGCTTCGCCTTGTGTGTCGGTTGCGGTGCTTCCACGTGGTGCTGAGGCGTTTGGTGAGGTGTTTACCTTTTTTTTTTGCGCCCTGCAGCCAACCTTGTTTGGCCATGGCGGCAGCAGTGGGACTCTGCGGCTGCGTGCTCGCCGTGCGTGTCTCATCTTTTGCCGTTGCTCCTTTGTTGTGTTGGTGGGGGAGGAGGCGAGCGACTGCGTCGGTGAAGTTGTGCCCCAGTGGGAGAGGGAAGGCGCTGACCGCTGCTGACGGTGACGGTCTTTGCAGCAGGCGATCTGAGGGGATGGCGTGACTGGTGCAACCACCAACCGAGATGGATGAGGGCCGCACTGCGACTCCCACCCCTTTCTTCATTCTCGCAGTTCACTGCAGTCACACTCCACACTTATCGCGCGGCAGCGGCGCGACCACCATCCGGACGTATGCGAGCCAATCGGACTTTGCAATTGACGTGGACCCTTTTTCTCCGTGTTTGAGTGCTGCCGCCGTGCTTTATTTATTTATTTATTTTGTGTGTGCCATGCGCGCATAGAGCCGCTGCTTGCTGTGCAACGCCGGCTTGCATGAACGAGAAACGACGCTTTTGCTGCTGGCGACCGGCGAACTTTCCACTCCACTTCCGCACCACCGACACCAAAACCTTCATTTACGCGCTTGACGGCTGGCGGTCGTAATGCTGCCACGTGGTCCGCCTCGGCTCTTGTGTGTCGTCCACGGCATCGGGGTCGCCCTGTGATGGAGTCGTTCGGTAACAGGAGCAGTGCCAGTGGTCATGTGGCTTTTTGCCGGGATTCCACCGCTCGGCACGGGGCTGTGTGAGGCTGTGTGGGCGATGGTGTCACTGAATTGATTGCGTCTGCGCGGCTTTGTGTCGGCGTCTGTACTGTGATGGGGGTTGTGTATTATCGGATGCCTCTGCGTGCCACTGTGTTTATTTACTGTTGCTGCCTTTTATCCTTTTCCTGACCGTGCAGTTAGAGATACTTTGGCTTGACCAGCACAACTATCGTTTCAAGGTGTTAGGGATTACTTGCAGTATTAAGATTAACAGCAGTAGGATAACGATCTATCGGAATTGTGTCACTGGATTTGCCATCTGTAGGAAGGGATTTGCTAAGTAGGAGTTACGGTCGACGGGTCGAGTGCGACACACCACGACGGCCTTATTTGTACCTGTTTGGGTCGGTGGATGTGGTCTGCGGTGGGTGCGTGTCCGCGCAGCCGGCACCGTGTGCGGCGCAGGGCCATTGCGGCTGTGCGTGCGGCGCTGCTTGTGGCGTTGGCGCTGTTTGCGGCGGCGGCGTGGGTGCTCGCGGCGCATGCGGTGGTGCTGCGACTGCGGGGCGGCACGATGGACAGGGCCATCACGGTTGGCCGAGCCGTGGAGACGGTGCTGATGGACGGCGTGTACATCACGAACGGCGTGGCTGTGGTGTTCGACGTGCCGGCGATGCTTCCCGGCGCGCTGCGCATTGAATTGAGGAACTGCGTGTGCGACGGCGGTGCGCAGCTCTACGTGCGGGGCTACAGCGGCGAGCCGGCGAGTGACCGGAGTCTGGAGGTGAGCGTGAGCGGGCTGTCCGGGAGCTACTGCTCGCTCGTGTTTGTGGACAACCTGCCGGCACACACGAATGTGACGGTCCGTGACTCGACGATTGTGACGGCGGGGCCGATGCGCTACTCCCAACTGAGCGGGCTGACGGACGCGGTGGCGTCGCCGCTTGTGCTGCACGCGACGTCGCTGTTGCAGACGCAGCTGCGTGTGAGCAACACTGTGCTGAGGTCGTTGGACGCGGGCGGGTCGGCGGTGCATGTTGGCGGCGGTGTGGACCTGCTGTCGAGCGCGGTGGTGCTTGACGGCGTGTTGCTGGAGGCGTCGGGCGGTCCGACCGCGTCCGCGATGCATGTGGCGTCCTCGTCGATTCTCAGTTTGCGGAGCCACTCGGTGTTTTCCGTGACGAACGTGTCGGTTTTGAGCAGCGGCGGCGGCATTGTGCTCGGAGAGCGCCTCGCGGTGGTTGACTCGGTGCTGCGCTTTGTGGGCGTCGAGGGGTCTGTTGCGTCGTCGCTGGTGCGCTGCGACGGTGGGACGGTCGGTGCCGGCGGGTGGCTGGAGCTGCGCGACGTGTGGGCGGTGGGCGAGATGTCGTCGGTGGCGTCGCTGTCGGGGGTGACGCTGAGCGGCGGCACCGTGTCGATTGCGCGCTGCGCTGCCACCGGCGCTACGCTTGTCTCCGGGCCGACGATCACGAGCGGCGCCGTGTCGGTGCAGTGCAACCGTGCTGACGGCCGGGTGCTGCGGAGCAGCGGCGACTACCGCTCTGCCGGCCTGCCCTCCGTGAGCGTGGTGCCGTGCGACGGCTGTGCGGCTGCGCTGGCGTGCTTTGCTGCGCTGACGGCGTCATTCTCCGACTGCGTGTGCGGCTGCCGTGCCGGCGGCGTGGGCGAGGCGTGCCTGCCGTTCGACGTGCCGCCTGCGAGGGCCGGCGGCGGTGGTGGCGGTGCGCAGGGCTGCGTGAGTGGCGTGACGCTGACGGAGTCCGTGACGGTTGGCGGTGGGCGTGGGACGGCGTGCTTCGACTCGATGGTGTTCAGCGGACCGATCACTGTGACGGTGGACCTGCACTTGATGGACGTGTTCGCTGACGCGCTGAACGTGACGCTGCGCCACTGCGTGCTTGCGGGCGGCGCGCAGCTTCGGATTGGTGGCCTCAGCGAGAGCACGGCGCACCTGATGCCCCACGCCATCGTCAACATGACGAATGTGACGTCGCTTGAGGGCACGATCGTGCTGCATGGCGCGATGCCGCTGAACTCGAGTGTGCTGCTGGCGAACTCAACGCTGCGTGCGACGGTTGGCGGGTCGCAGTACGTGCCGACTACCCGTGGCCACGCGGGATCCCGGTACGGCCCCGCGCTTGTCCTGGACGGCGTCCGGCTTCTGTCGACGCGGTTTGTCATGACGCGGTCTACGCTGGTGTGTGGCGGGGGCTTGTGCGCTGCGATCCTCGTGGAGCGCGGCCTTGTCGTGAACCTGTCCAGCGTCTTCTACATGGACAACTGCGCTGTCATGTCGTGGACGCACGTAATGTACGCTCTTGCGTCGGACCTGCGTGTCGGCGGCGGCTCCGTGTTCTCCATACAGAACAGCTTGTGGAGTGCACCGAGCACCGATTACTACGGGGGCGCGTGCATGTTTGAGGACGTTGCGGTGGATGGCGGCAGCGTGCTGCAGATTGTGTCCAGCACTTTCCGTCTGGGCTTTGCCATGCTCATGGCAAACACGCTGACTGTGACTGGCGGCAGCTGGCTGGTGCACCGCAACAACGAGTTCCGCACCGCCTACGTTTTGTATGTGGCCAAGGAAAATGGCGTGTCGTTCCGCGATCGGAGTGTGTGGTCGATACTGTACAACAACTTCACGTACGGTTCGTACTCGTCAACCATAGCAAATATGACAAACGGTTGGTCACCACCATCTGACTCGCGCCCGACCATCTACGGCGTGTGCAACGACCTAAGGGGCTCACCTGTGACGAATTACGGAGACGAGCTCAATATTGGAGCACCCGTGAGGGTGTTGGACCGCGGCGCGTGCACCGTGGACGCCGTGTGCTTTGCTGCGAGGACAAGCAGCATCAGCGGCTGTGAGTGCGTGTGTGCTGCTGGCGGCTACGGCGACACGTGTCTTCCAGCAGCGGTTCCGGACTGCCTTGGGCCGCTCCCGCTCCCCGATGCGGACGACACGGAGGTCCGCTGCGTGCACGGTGGCATCATCCGCTCCGTGGAATATCCTGATCCCGGTGTGCGTGGTCTGTGCTTCGTCAACGTGACCTTCACCGCCGCGATCGTGCTGGACCTGTCGTATTTTGACGCGCCACAACAGACACTCAACATCACGCTGCTGCAGTGCGTCCTCGTGAGCCTGTCGATCAGAGGGAGTGGTGCGCGTGTGCACGTGAACGCGACTTCTTCGATGCTGGATTCTGGTGAGTTGGAGTTCAGAGGTGATTTTGGCGCGAGCTCCCAGATACTGGTGGTGGGCAGTACGCTTGTGACGACGTCGAGCCACGCCATTTCCTTTGTGGAGTTTATTTTCAGTGCAAATTTGACGCTGCTGCTACTCGACAACTACATCGAGGGAAATAGGCACGCAGTCCATTTAATCAATGCTGTTGTTGTTGATGGTGGCGGGATCATTGTGAAGGGAAATACGCTGATCACAACGGAGGAGGACGACGGTGTGGAATCATCTGTTTGCGTTAATGCTGTTGCTGTGAAGAACGGTGGCTACTTTGACGTGGAGAACAACACGATGAGCTCGGTCAATGGCGTTATTCTTTTTGGGGATACCACCGTGAGCTCCGCGGGGCTGCTGAGAGTGGCGGACTGCACCTTCGTTGACAGAACAGAATCTTTTGATCCCGCGCTGCTGTATTTGACTGGCTCGGTGACACTCGAGGGAGGTGCGCAGTGGCGTGTGACGGGCAACGACGTGGGTGCAGCCTCAGTATTAACTATTCCGTATTCCGGGCGCAAAATTCGGCTGTCAGACAGCGGCACCACCGTAGTGCTTGCACACAACCGTCAGGTGGAGGATAGTTGTCTCTTTGCTGATCTGGCTCTTCTAGAAGGGATTGTGACGTCACCCGCGCGGTTTGTGGTGGGGTGCAACTTGCAGGACGATGAGGAGGTGTCGTACGACGATGTGTTTCCGGAGGGCGTGGTGGTGTTCGGGTGCGGCACATGCAACGATGACGCGGCGTGCTACATGCCCGGGACGGAGTCGGTGGACCGCAGCTCGTGCTCGTGCAGCTGCAAGGACGGATGGCATGGCGCATCGTGTCTTCCCTTTGAGGTGCCCGACACTTTTTTGCTCCCCTTGCCGGAGAGAGCCGTCGACGACGACACGAGCTGCGTGGTGAACCAGACGCCGACGAACGTCACGCTGAACATGTGGAAGACGCACCACTGCTACGCGGGCGTTACATTCAGCGGCGTGGCTGCTGCGCTGACGTTTTTCCTCAACAGTATGCCGCTGCATCTCCCCATCAACATCACGCTCAGTGGGTGCACATTCCGTGAGGGTGCCGCGCTGCAGTTTGTTGGGGGTGCTGAGGCGGACGAGTCAGCCGGCGTCCTGATCCGCGTGAGCCAGACGGTGATGCTGTCCTCCGCCGTTGCTTTTATACGTGCCCTCCCGCAGCGCTGCGACATTGTTGTCACGGAGGTTGATGCGGTACAGACGTTTGAGGTCCGGCTGCCACACACTAGGATCAGCATTTGGAGCGTATTGTTGCTGGGCGATGTTGTGTTGAGTGCGTCGACGCTGTTGGTCAGCAACGTCAAGGCGCATTCAAAGAAGCATGATGCGTTTGGTTTGTACTCGACAGGTACGCTAAAGCTGGTGGGTGGCAGTTCGCTGTACACGCGGTACTGCAGCTTTGATGGGTACATGCATCTGTTTTACGTGCACAGGCTCGGTGTCTGCGATCACTCCGTTTTTGCTTTGCTCAACAACATAATGTTCTCCGGGACAAGCTTCTTGTATCAGCACTCCCGCTTAGGCGTGTCGGATCACAGCGTGCTGCGCGTGGTGGGGAACAGCGGCTCCGTGCGCTATGCCATCTATAACAATGAATTGTGGACCGTTGAGCAGTCAAGCTGGCTGGACTGGCGCGACAACGACGTGGAAGTGGGTGCGATGCTCTACGACATTGGCTCCGCTTTTGTGAGCATTGACGGCAGCAGTGGCGTGACGCTGACGGGCTGCAAGATGGGCTCGACGGGGTTGTCGATGCCCCTTTTATCTCGGGCTGACGCCGGCTACCGGTTCTTTGCCGGGTGCCTGACGGTTGCGGGACGGGAGGTGACGACGGCGGCTGAACTGGAGCTTCACGGCATCAACAACGTGACGGCGGTTGCAGTGTGCGGGGAGCGCACGAAGGACGGCGACTGCTTTGCTCCGCTGACGACGACGGTCATTGACTGCAGGTGCCAGTGCGCTGCTGGAGGGCACGGCGATGTGTGCGTCCCGGCGCCTGTGCCTGCTGGTCCGCCACACCGCCGACGCCGCACCGTCACCATCACGCCGCA